GTCTCTGGGTTAGAAAATCCTCTCAGGATTAGTTAGTCGCGACGAATTATTGGGTTCACCGCGATGAAAAGGTCGTGGTTTAAATCCAAAGGAGGGGACTGATATATGAAAATAAGATTTTCTGAAGGTAGGAGTTGGAGCTCTTCTAGGGCTTCGTGTTTTTTGGCTTGGGGAAGGTATTTCTAAGGGTCCATTGCTTCAAGTAAGTGAATCTAACCTCTAATCTACTCTTTCTCTTGGGATTTTTGAGGATTTTGTAGAGGAATCCTATGGCTCTCTGGTTTCTGATGAAATTGAGGTTTTTGACCAATTGTTTTGATTTAAATGATTGTTATGGGTTAGTCTAAGTATTTAATCAGTGTGGTTTTCTTGAATTTGGAGATTTGGAAGTTTTGGGAATTTTGGGTTTGTGAAAATGAAGGTTTATGATTGAGGATGATAATGTAGTGGTTGAAATTGAGTTTTGTGAATTTGGATTATGTTAAGAAAGGTTAAATTAGATGTTTAATCGGTTTAGAATGTTAGTAGGACTTGATTTGTTCTAATTGGATGGTTGGGTGATGAATTTCTAGAGTGGGATTTGAGTTTCTGAAGTCAATTGAGGTTTTGGAAGGGAAGCTAGAGTATTAATGGTCTCTTGTGGTTTTGGAGTATTATGTGATGACTTTTGGCCCCTGTGAGTTGGGTAGAGTTTTGGTTAAGGCTAGGAATTTTGAATCCCCAAGTGTTGTGTGACCATTTTATTAGTTTGAAAGCTAATATACGGTGATTGTGTGTTTGAGTGTTTGTGTAGACCTGTTGTGAGTATTTGTTGGTGCAAGGGGCATCGTGGTGTTTTTGTTATTCCTTGCTCAAGCGAGAAGTAACCACTTTCCAACCTTTTGTGCTTGCTGTTATGGTACTGTGTGAAACGTCCTACATCTAACCCCTCAGAGCATGCATTTGTAAGCATTATGGTTCAAGCAGATCATAATACAAACCCGTGGATTTAAAATTTCAACATAACTACTCGGGTTACTATTCACTGTTAAATTTTCAGATTACAGGTCCAACTTCAAAATTCTTAACTAAATTCATAAAAATTGTATTGAGGTGATCTAAAATTCTACTGAAAGCTATTTCGATGCTCTTTAAGGGAAAAATATCCAATTGGACTTATCCTTGCCCAATTCATACAGTTAAATCAATAGATATTACTATTCATTTCAAAAATCTGGAACTTTCAGATTTTGTGCTTCAACTTTGGAAATTTGTATCTCCTTGTGTACACATCCAATTGAGGTGATCTACCTCTCGTTTTAAAGCTTGGGATGTGTACTATAAGTCTGCCAAATCTTGTGACTTAACTAATTCGTTTGATAGGTCAAACTGGAGCTATAAACTTGCTACTCCAGGATTTATCTCTTAGCATCTCTTTACTTAAATTCTTTTTATTTCTTTGGCATACATAACATGGGCTTACTCTTTCCCATTCATGCTAATACATTTCTATACATACCATAAGTATTATAATTAAATACATGGCATCATATGCATCCATAACATAAATTACATAATAAGAGAATTACATAATGAATAATAATATTATTCATTAACATCAATAATTCTCCACTTTCTTCTACTTGCTTCTCATGCCATTATTGCCCATCATTGATTGACCTATATGGTTGGTTAGGGAGGGGTGAGATTCGGGGGAATCTCAGTAGCAAACAATACCCACATAATCATGCTAGATGGATGCTAATGCACTACACGCAACTTGTTTATTCTCTTGTTAATTAGTGACGTATTAGCATGCTCAAAGCTAACTTTTTGATGCATGGCCATGGAGACATAATCTACTCATCATGAATAGAAATTATAACAGCTAAAATATGTCACAATAACATTCAATAACATGTACATGGCAACACACAAGCATACAACATCAAGCAATGACAATAGGTAAGTTCACTACATTGCACCTCAAGCTTTCCTCTCACTTTTCCTTTGACTCCCTTGACTTTCCAACCATGTGGGCATTTGGTCAACATCACCAAACATCCTCTTGGATGTTCCAAAGGTCCTAAACATAACCATAATGATCACACGGTCCATTAGAACCACTAGATTACATAAAGTTCAAGACTAGCTCTCTTGAATGCCAACCCTTTCTCTTGCTCTTTGGGTTTTCTTTCTAACTTCTCTAACATAAATATTATCATTTCCTATCCTTAAGATCTATTTCTTGTCAAGTAGGACCACTTTAGATGGCTTTAGATTCAAGAATATCAAATCTGGAAATTTTGGCTCGCGGGTACTATTCACGCAAAAACTCCAGAATTTTTGCTCAACTTTGAAAATTCATAATTAATTCTAGAAAAATCAAAATTAAGTGGTTCCAAGTCTCACTAAAATTTCCTTAAGTTAAATTTACAAGAAAAATAGTTTCAGGAACCAATTCCACAATGAACAGTACCAGAATTGTACGGAAATTGAAACTCTTCCAAAAGTTCAACACTGTTTCCAGATTTCAAACTCTAACTTTGAAAAATCACCATAAATCGTACACATATCCAAATGAAGTGTTCTACCCATGGATTTAAAGCTTACAGAGTTTACTTTAACCATACAAAATCTTAGAATCAGATACGAAGAGAAACTAATTCGAAATAGGCATCAAATCAGATGCTACAGCTACCACATATCTTGATCATGAAGCTTGAACTTAGGTGAACTTTCTCTCACTAGAAATAGCTCTTTCTCTCTCTAGATGCAAGGGCGGTAGAGTTTCCCCTATAGATCCTTGCTTGGCCAAAATATGAAGGGGAGGGAGTGCCTATTTATAGGCAAAAATTTGGCTTGAATGGACCAAAATGCCCTTGGTGGCTAATAGAAGGGGCAAGGGCAATTTTGGAACTTTAAGTTAACTTTTACATCATCATTGCATCATCTTCTTGCATTATGCTTACCTCAACCTTCTAGAAGATGCCAAGTGTCATGAAAGTGGTGGAGGAGATGGGAGATTAGATCCTAGCCGTTGGATCAAACTTAATTCCTCCGAATTTACTTGGCCCACGTTTCTTCGGCTTCCTTTATGGCCATAACACTTCCTTTAAACCTTGCATAAAAATTCATTTACCAAAATATCCTTTTATCGGCAAAACCGGCTCTTTAATTTATTAAAGCCACTCTATTGGCCTTTTGGTTGCGGGACTAATTTTATAAATTAGTACAACCTTTTAACCATTTAATCTCACTTTTGTGTACATTTTTGAGGTCTCTTGCTGTCTCAAATAATTACCTCAAACGGTATACTTTTTACTGGCAATAACCTCATAAATTCCATTTAAGCTGCCTCAGGGGTATTTTTTGTCTTTTCTCTTCACAGAAGGGCTTAGAATATTATTTCCCATTTTCTAGGATTTTCTTGGAATTCTCTGCATACTCCATTCCATACTTTCCCCCCTGTTGGTCATAACTTTCTGAATTTACGGTTTAGTCCCTTCTTGGACTTAGCTTCATATAATCCTCTCTTTGAGGCTTCTAGCTTAACCTTTGGCCTATATCTAGTCTCTTTTCTCTCTCTGGGCCTTCGAGACTTTACTGGAGCCTCTAACTTTGATTACACTTTAGCCCCTTAAAACTTTTACTTTGCAGTTTAGTCCCCAAAACTGCTTTGCCTTCCTTTCTCATCTTTGGGACTTTTGCTTAAAAGGGTCTAGTAGCCTATCCAATTCAGGCTATTTCTAGTACTTATATGCCCAAAAGTTTGGATGTTACACTGTGAGTGGATTTATGTTTTGTGTGTCGAGTAATAACTGGTGTTCTAAATGTATTTTTGTATATCAAAAGGGAGAGTCGTCTTGTGGGATTTTTGTACAATACTGAATGCATTGAGAATTTTTGAAAGATATGCCACTGATAAAATTACTTGTGGAATGGTATATTTACTCTTCAGTGAAGATGTTTGAGCATGATGCATGTGTTGGATCAGTGAGAGATTGCTTTGTTACTACCACATGGTAAGGCCTCCACTAATGCATGATGGTTGGCTCTTTACGTCCCCCATAGTAAGAGATAGGCCATTGTGGCTCCTTACGTCCCAACAGTGAGGGATAGGCCGGGTTCGGCTCTTTGAAATCCCCTAAAGTGAGAGATATGTTGATGGGTTGCATCATTGCAATTGCATGGTTCTTTATGGCTATCACTTACAATTTTACATGTAATTGCCCCCACTTGACATCTCACGAGCACCTATTCATCTGTACTCTATTTTGGAATGTTGGTTATTGGGACTTCTGTCTCACCCTGTAGTTATAATGTCTTCGGGAAGGGATGTGGAGGCTTGAGCTTGGTTAAGCTGTAATGCCTCTAGCTTGTGGTATATGTATGACCAGTGTATATTGCCACATTTATGGTCTTTTTTGAGATATTTTGATTGCATGGCCTTATTGTAAACTGGTGAAAGTGTCATCTACTTATTTTGTTGGCCGGAGGCCATTCTTATTATTGTTTAAAATTCTAAATTTATGTTCATGGGGACAGTTGGATGGGCTTTTGTGCGATTCTCTGTTTACCCCGAGCTTGAAGCCCAGTGGTCCAATTGAATGAACTTAGTGATTGATTGTATGAAAGATCTTTGGTTGCATGCAACTTGTTTGGGTTTGTACCCACAATTTAATTGTCAGCTTTAAAAAATGGTTTACAAGTTTTCTTTTCTACTATGGTAGCTTGTATAACAGTTTTCCTTTTCTACCATAATAGTGGGTTATATGCTAAGCTCTTTGTGTTGGGGGAAGGAGTTTTACAAATTGGTACTTAGAGCCAGTCTTTTTCCTTGCAATTTGTTTCTTTTCCTAGTGGCAATATACATACTTCATATATACCTTCCTGTTTATTTTATGTTTCCTTTCTTTTCTTTACTCGGAGAGGAAGGATGGTACAGACATGTCAGACAGACCCAGCCAGTAACAGGCTGCCTTAAGAATGATGCCTTTTTGAGGCAGATAAGAGTGATGATGACGTCAGTGGTAGACGAGAGATTAAGAAAGTTTGAAGAGGACTTCACGAGAAAGCAGCAAGAGTCAGTCAATCAGGAGGATCGACGGAACGAGGTGACTATAGAGACACGAGGAGAAGGCGAAAAGGGGCTTAGAGGTAGCGACCGAGCTGGAGACATACCTCACAGGGAGGAGTATCAGGAGGTAAGTTGGGAAGGAGATAATTTAGGGGGAGTAATCTACCCTCCACTACTGAATGACATCACCAAGGTATGGAGAGAGGTGCATCATTATGATCCTCCATAGTTCAAGGGAAGTTTGGAACTGTCAGATGCAGAGAAATGGATTGAGCAGATAGAGACAATCTTTACTTACCTTGTGGAACAAGTGAGACACTGGTAGATTAGTGCAAGGCCTACACATATCTCAACCAGATTAGGATACCTTCAAATAGATGTTCGACGATCACTTCTTCCCGAAGGAGTTATAGATGGAAAAGTAGTTCCTGTTTTACTCCTTGAAGTAGGGTGAATTGCATGAGGATCAGTTTATTACAAGGTTTATTGATTTGGCCAAGTATGTGCCAAGGCAGGTAGACGATCATTCCTTCTAGTTAGCTTAACAGTTGATGAACCACACAAGGCCGGCGTTAAAGTAGCAATTGGCCCTGTTAGAGGTTAATACCTTTGAAGAGATGTGTGTAAAGCTACAAGTTACAGCTAGAAGGACAAGAGAGGTGGCAGAGGCAAGGAGGATTGAGAACCAAGCTAGAGCAGTGCGTTACCTTGGACCTACCGGAGGAGTGGGAAAAATAAATCAATACAATTATGGGAGCTCGGGTAGCTCAGGGAGGAACAGAAATCAAGGGTAGAATCAGAGGTCAAATGCTCAGAGGGGCTTTATGCAAAGGCGTCAAAATCCGAACAGTCAAGCTAGTAGGGGACAGAGCTCTCGTCAAGATTCATTAGTGACCACTTTGAGTGTTATGGGACTGTACCCCAGATGAGGGGGTAGGCATACGGGGCAATACTGGGAGTGCTTCCGATGCCATTGGTGGGGACATATTGCTAGAAACTACCCAGAGAGCTAGGTAACACCTCTAGTTAGCTGTTCTACTGTTCTGGGACATGTCTATGCCATGACAAACGAAGAGGTTTCTGCATCCCCAAATTTGATTCGAGGTAACATCTTATTCAAGGTGATGTTATTTCTGCTTTATTTGACTTGGGTGCTACACACTCCTTTATTTCAGTGGATTGTGCTCAAAAGTTGAGTTTGCCTATGGTTGAGCTACCATACAATTTGAGAGTATCTACTCCTACGGGGGTCACTGTCATAACTAGAAGGGTGTGTCTAAGGTTGCACTTTGTTTTGAGAATCGAGATTCTACAATAGATTTGTTTTGTCTACCTTTACAAGCCATTAACGTGATTATTGGTATGAATTGGTTGATGGCCAATGGTGTAATCCTTGATTGTAAAAGGAGGTTAGTGACAATTTCATTGGGTGCATTATGTGCTGAGATGTCTAGTGGTCCAGTTCTATTGTCTGTTGCCTAAGTGGATAAGGCGATGAAGAAGGGGTATCAGGCCTTCATTGTATTCTTCTCGATCAATGAGAGTGAAGCAGGCAGAATTGAGCAAAAGATGTGGTAAGGGAGTACCCAGACGTGTTTCCAGATGAGGTTGCAGGACTACCTCTAGAGCGGGAAGTGGAGTTCTCCATAGAATTGGTTCCGGGAACCACCCCAATTTCAAAGGCTCCGTATAGAATATCTCCTTCAGAATTGGTCAAATTGAAAAAGTAGCTAGAAGATTTATTGGAAGAAAGGATTCATCCAAACTAGTGTGTCGCCATGGGGATCATCGGTGTTGTTTGTAAGGAAGAAAGATGGTAACTTGAGGTTGTGTATTGACTACTGATAATTAAACAAGGTCACAATCAAGAACAAGTACCCATTGCCTAGAATCGATGATTTGTTGGACCAGCTAGTCGGAGCATCAGTTTTCTCTAAGATCGATCTAAGGTCAGGATACTATCAGCTAAGGGTGCAAGCAGAGGACACCCCAAAAACAGCCTTTCGAACTCGTTACGGACACCATGAGTTTCTAATGATGCCTTTTGGACTCACAAATGCTCCAGCCGTCTTTATGGACTACATGAATCAGATCTTCCAACCTTATTTGGATAGATTTGTGGTAGTGTTCATTGTGATATACTGATTTATTCTAAGAGCGAGAAAGAACATCAAGAGCATCTCCACATCGCACTACAAATTTTGAGGGACCATCATTTGTATGCTAAACTATCAAAGTGCGAGTTCTGGTTAAAAGAAGTAAAGTTTTTGGGTCACATTGTATCTGCTCAGGGAGTGGCAATGGATCATAACAAGGTGGATGCAGTACTAAAGTGGGAGGTTCCCAGATCAGTAACCGAGGTGTGGAGTTTTGTGGGATTAGCTGGTTACTATTGGAGATTCATTCAAGGCTTTTCTCAGATTGCAATACCATTGACTAAATTAACCAAAAGGATCACCGTTTGTTTGGACGGAGAGTGTGAAGCGGCGTTCCAAGAGCTGAAGACCAAGTTGACTACAGCCTCAGTCCTTACCCTTCCAACTCCTGGAGTGCCTTATGCTCTTTACAATAACCCGATGCATCACTAAAAGGTTTGGGATGTTTGTAACACCTTACGTTTACGACCTTATATTGTGCCAAGTTAAGACACTCGGAAGCGCAAACTAAGGTTACCGGGTTGAAAAACCTGAATTTGAAAATTTCTTTTCCCGCATTACTATTCACCGTAACCTTAAACTTGGCATAACTTTGAAAAATCATAACTAATTCTAGAAAAATCGAAACGAGGTCGTTCCAAGTCTCACTCGAAGCTCTCAACATCATCTATCAAGGAAAATGACCTCAGGTTCCGCTTTAATCAGAAACGCATTCGTTTTCAATTTCGAAAAGTACTGTTCATTTGGTCATTTTTCTATTTTCCAGGATTTTTGCCTAACTTCGGAAAGGCATAACTTCTTACACAGAGCTCCGATTGTGACGCTTTACCACTTATTTTAAGGGAAAAATAAGATCTATTCGCATACCAATTTCAGGGAAAAAGTCAACCATTTGACCAGGGTCTTCGTTGGTCAAAGTTTGGTCAAATCTAGACCATTTTTATCCCCTTTTTCACTAATTTTGACAGCATTTCGTTTTTTCACTATAATCATACCATAATCACTTATAAAGCTACTCTATCATTAATATACATTCCAAAAGGGTATCATATCATGTATTTATGAACATAGTATGCTTACATGGCTTGAAAGAGAAAGGTTCAAAACCGTATAATACATTACATAATTCATAACTTCTTCAAGCCATGACTATTTCCTTTCCTTTCTCCTTAGCAGTAGTGGCACCTAGGATATCATGTTATAGGAGGAATGAGATTTCATAGAAATCCCAGTAGCATTGAACATACAACCATCAAGTCAACATGCATAAGATGTCATGCTACATGCAGTAAGATAACATTTCTAGTCTTTATGCCATGCTATAATCATTCTGTATCCATGTCATCATATCATGGAGCATATAATCATTCTGGTCAAAACTCAATCATGCAAGAGCCAAGGCATACATTGCAAGGAGTTCACATCATCTGTACATAACATTCTCATGGCACATAAACACACATAGCAGATACATCAAATGCAGATCAACAAAATAATTGCAGTTCACGCTACCTCAATTCCTTGCTTAACGTTTCCTCCTTGATCCCTTGCTGGAGATCCTCCTAGGTTTCCAGAAGAGTTGCCTATCAACCATACAGTAAGGGTATGGTAATTCCATATCCAGTATACCATTCTTTCTCAATATAATGCTACCCTTGTATCTTTCAATTTATAATTTCTGTATACCTTTCCTAAACCTTTGACCTTGGTTTGACCAAGCCTTAATCCTCAATTAAGGTCTTGGAATTCTTTCCTTACCCATGATTAATCATGCTTCCTTGGTTAATCACTAACCCTTAGTCCTTATCCAATACTTAATTAAGGTCCTCAAGTCACATAGTCATAATCCTTTAAGATTAAATCACTAATCCCTTTTTGGATTAACCATTAATCATTCTCTAATCAACATGATTAACCATTATTCATTCCTTAATTAACATGATTATCTTTTCTAATCAATATGATTAATCATATCATTCTCTAATCATATGATTAAGCTTTTATCAATACTTAATCAATGATTACCCATAATTAATCACCTTCAATTACATAACTAATCACTAATTAATTAGGGTAGCTAACCTTAATCACTTACTAATCTTAATCAAATAACATAATTAATCTTAGCTATCACTAAACCATAATTAATCAAGGTAATTAATCCTAATCTTCCTCAAATAAATAATCAACTAAAAATAATTAACACTTAGGGAGATAAACATACCTTAATTAGCGCTTAATCGGCGATTAGAGGTGATTAAGCTTGCTGTCTCTCTCTCTCTCTCTCTCTTCTTTCTTCCTTTCTCTCTCCTAGAACTCAAGAACACAAAATTCTCTCCCAACAAACACCTCTGGCCGAATTCTTCATGAAGGGGGGGTATTTATAGGCCTTGATATTTCAAAATGCCGAAAATGCCCTTCGGGAAAAGATGCGATCTCGGCCGTTCATTTTTTTCTACTTTACACGTGGACAATCTTAGGGCACTCACCATAAGAAGTGACACATGTAGGGACACCTAATCACCATGTGATTTTCATGTGGAAAATATATTATTTTATTATTTTGTGTCTCTTATTTCCCTTTATGCCCTTGACAATGTGGAAAATTCCAACTTGTCCTCTCCTTCTAATTTTGGGCCGAATTATTGCTCTTAATATTGGAAAAATATGACTCATCCAATAATCAGTGCAATCCACTGATTATTTGTGTATTTCCGGCCGATTTTCCAATTTTCCGGCAATCCATCCTGTCAATTTACTGTCACAAAAATTCCGATTTCAACACCTCATTAAATTCCCCTCATTCCAAGGGTAATCCATGATTTTTCTCAAGTTCTATCTCCCTCTATAATTTTCTAATTTTATTCTGTCAAAAATCACTATTCTACCGATAATAATTCGGTAGTAAATATTCTTTAAGCTAACCTCTGTACATCCAAAGGTGGGAAATAATTTTATAAATTAGGATAATATGTCACATAATTTATCCATATTTTTCCTTGAATTTTTGAGCCTCTATATTTTTAAATAATGAAATTGGCTAATTTTCCTTAATTAGCCAAAAATTCCAATAATTACATATAATTTCCTGATAAATTATTTTTCATCTCATATTCATCTTCTAAGCCTCAAACATTATTCTGTACCCTCCTTTCTATTTTTCATAATTTTCTGGGAATTTTTTAGGAAATTTGGACATTATTTCCAATACTGCCCTTTCTTAACTGATCTTTTCAGAAATGACCGTTATGTCCCTATCCTGATTTTCCTCATAGCCTGGATCCTCTACCCAGTCTACTATACTACTTGCCTTAGTCAGTCACAAATCATTCATCAGTTAGAATAAAATTATCAGGGTGTGACATTTCTTCCCCCCTAAAAAATAATTTCGTCCTCGAAATTTAACACATACCTTATGTGAAGAGCTCTGGATACTTGCTCCTCATCTCGTCCTCCTTTTCCCACGTGCCTCTTCTTGATTTAGATCCTTCCAAATCACTTTGACCAAAGGGATTCCTTTGTTCCTCAGCTGCTTGACTTTCCGATCCACTATGCGTTCTGGTCTTACTTCAAATGTCAGATTGTTCTTTAGCTCAATCTGATCATATTCTAGCACATGTTCTGGATCCGGATTGTACTTCTTCAACTGGGAAACATGGAAGACGTTGTGCAACTGACTCAAGTTCGGGGTAAGGCCAGTCGATAGGCTACAGGTCCTACCTTTGAGAGTATTTGGAATGGTCCCACATATTTAGGCGTCAGCTTTCTCGCCTTAATAGATCGTCCTACTCCGTAGTTGGAGATACCTTCAGAAGACATGGTCTCCAACCTCGAACTCTAACGGCTTTCTCCTACTGTCGCGTAGCTCTTCTGTCTGCTTTGAGCCGTGAGTAGCCTCTGTTTGATCTGTTAATCTGTTCAGAGGTACGATCTACTATATCTGGACCCCAAATTTTCTCTCTCCGAGTTCTGCCCAACAAAGCGGGGATCTTGCACTTTCTCCCTCTCCGTAATGCCTCGTATGGTGCCATCTGGATACTGGAATGGTAACTGTTGTTGTACGCGAATTCTGCCAAAGGCATATTTCATCCCAGCTTCCTTTGAAATCCAAAACGCACGCTCTCAGCATATCTTCTAGTGTCTGTATCGTTCGTTCTGTTTGTCCTTCCGTTTGCGGATGATAAGCTGTACTGAAACTCAGTACCGTGCCCATGGCTTCTTTGCACTGCTTTCCAGAATCTCGACATGAATCTTGGATCCCTGTCAGACACAATGTACTCTGGAACCCCATGTAATCTTACTATCTCTTTAATGTATACCTCGCTAACTTCTCTGGCGAATTTACATTAATCGCCAGAAATGGGCCGACTTCGTCAGTCTATCAACTATGACCCATATTGCATCGTATCCTGACGACGTACGAGGTAGTCCTACTATGAAGTCCATAGAGATACTGTCCCACTTCCATTCAGGAATACTAAGGGGTTGTAAAAATCCTGACGGCTTCTGGTGTTCCGTCTTCACCTTTTGGCATGTAAGGCACTTTGTCACATACTCAGTGACATCTCGTTTCATACCAGGCCACCAAAACAATGACTTGATGTCTTGATACATCTTGGTCATTCCTGGATGAATCGTATATTTGCTTTTATGTGCCTCATCTAGGATTTGCTTCTGAGATCATCTACAGGAGGAACATACGATCTTCCTCTGAATTCTATTTACTCCCTCTGTTGAGATCTCGAAATCTTTTGCCTCGTTGCTCAAGACTTTAGCTCGAAGGGTCTTTGCTAACGGATCTCCTCTTTGAGCTTCTTTGATTTGTCTTATCACATCAACAGTTGTTCTCTGCACTAATGGCTCATTAGCCACATCATCTGCTGTTACTGCATGTGATAAATAGGACCCCAATCTCTTATATCTTCTAACAGATCACCCTCTTTGATCATGAGGGTAGCTACTTGCACTACTTTTCTGCTCAGAGCATCAGCCACTACATTGGCTTTTCCCGGATGATACTTGATCTGATAGTCATAATCTTTCAACAACTCCATCCATCTCCTCTGTCTCATGTTAAGTTCTTTCTGGTCTTGCAGGTACTTGAGACTCTTGTGATCGACAGAACAATTCTATAGTTGCCCCATACAAATAATGCCTCCATATCTTCAAGGCATACACTATCGCTGCAAGCTCCAGGTCATGAGTGGGGTAATTTTCTTCGTGAGGTTTTAATTGGCGCGAGGCGTAGGCAACAACTCTTCCCTGCTGCATCAGTACACATCCCAATCCCTGTTTGCTAGCATCTGTGTACACTACATATGGTAGTGTTGGATCGGGGATAACTAGTACTGGGGTAGAGGTTAGCCTTCGCTTCAGCTCTTGAAAAATTGCCTCACATTTCTCGTCCCACAAGAGCTGCTGGTTCTTCCTGG